GTTATCGGACTGGAGGGTTCGATCCCAGCGTGCGGCACCTTTGAAAAGTGCCTGAAAACCATACCACGGGTTGACCCAAGCCTTGTGAGTGAAATTGGGTAGACGGAACCCTTGGGGGCCGTCGATAGCTGTGCTAGCACGAAGTCACAAGTCATCGTGGCCGAGGGTTTGAGCGTGCTGGCCTTGTTCAAATTGTTGATCACGCTAGATAACACGCTCTTTCCCAGAAACTGTAACTAAGGTCTGCTCAGCATAGTTGCAGTATAAACCACAGGTGGGCTCTGTGGGTGTTGAATAAACACAAATGCGCCTGAGCAAGCGTCTGCAATAGGGATTGGCTAGCCGCCCTAGTAGACAGGTATCCTCGAATACGAGTGGCCAGCTATATATATAAATATATATATATTTGTTGTTTTATAACTATTATTAAAAATTTATTTTGCTTTTTTTCCTGGTGTTCATATAAAAAACACTTCGAACAATAGTAATTATTCACAGAAACTGAAAATTTAAAATTTAATAATGCATTTTTGTCTATACTGAAATTTTAAAAAATTTTTGAAGTTTTAAAAAAAACATGTTAAATTTTTATAAAATTCAATATATCATTAGGAATTCAATATATAATTTCATAAAATTTTAGCCATTTAGAAGTCTGTTTAAATATCAATATTTATTGAAAATAGCAGGATGATTTTAAAAACGCGTTCTTTTCTTTCAATGCCGTTGTGTATTTTCAAAACCTAATCATTTATGAATTTTAATACATATATTTCTGAAAAGAATAGTTTTAATTAACTTTCAAATAAAAAATTTTTATTTATTTTTGTTTGAATCTAAATGTTTCTGAAAATATAAATATATTCTTTTTATTTTCAATTTTTAAGTTTAATTTTTATAAAAATGTTTCTGTTTTTTACAAAAAAAAATAAAGCATTTTATAAAGTTTTAAAAGATTTGATTTAAAATTTGATTATATAGAATATTGTTCAATATTAAATTGTTAAATTGATGTTGTTATTGTTTATTTTTTGCAAATTAAAATGCTAATCTAAATTGATATGAAATTTAGAAAATTTTTTAGAAATTTTGAACTCAATTTTTTTGTTAAAATAAATTAAATAGTTTTTAAATAAAATATTCAATTTTTTATTTTTTTATTTTTTAAATTGATTAAAAATTTGAATAATTTTTTAATCAAGAAAAATTGAAAAGATAATTTCTTGTTCATTATGATTATATATTTTGATAAATTTTTTTCTTGGAAGGATAGCATCCATAACTTTATTTAATCACGTTGCGTATGGCATTCAGCATTTTTTTCATTTTCTTACTATTTTCTGGTTGAAAAACAAGGGAGTTTTCAAAAGAAATGAGATCGTTTTTAAAAATACAATGCAATTTTTTTTTTCTTGTCAAAATAGTAACAAATTTTCCCATTTTTAAAGAAAATTTTTAAATTACTGTAGATTTTTCATTTTTATATTTAATGTTTAAAGTTGTTATCTCCAATATAAATCTGCCGATAGAAAAATCCCAAGGCGTTTGGAAATATGAAAAAGACTTTTTTTTCTAATGAAATGGCCTTTTTCAATGTTCTGTCCCCCTAATGTTTGTTTGATTTGAAATCAGGAACATTGTGAAGGGACTTTTTTTTTTTTTAATGGGGATATCTTTTGATTTTCAACTTTTATTTCCCCTGATATCTGCTAGAAACTTTATGATTCATTCCCTCAAAATTTAAATAAAGAATCATTCCGCACTGGATAATGTTACCGAAAATTTAAAAAAAAAATAGCTTTTATTTTTTTTTACTAGTGAATTGACCTGCGTCGTTCGTTTCATATTATTTATTGATATTGAACACTTGTTTAATCGGTCCCATTATAAAAATTATGATGTTCAACACCTAAATTGTTCAATTTCATTGAGCTAGACTTAGTAGTTTTTAAGATAATTTCTTTTAAAATGATGTCATTTTTTTTGATAAATGTACAAATTTTTTAAGATTTCTGTCAAAAAATTTTTTTTGAAAAAATTATTTCATTTAAATAACTTTTATCTTATTTTTTCCATTATTAATTGCGATTTCCTTCCTAGCTTTTTGTTTGAAGTAAAAATGGATACGCCAATAAATTAATTATTAATAATTATAAAAAAATTCTTTTTGTTTCGTCATTTCCAGTTTTGATAGTCCAAAAATGTCTACACGGCCTTGTGAATGATGAATAGTTTTCCACCTTACAATCCATTTCCACCACAGACGAAATGTTACAATCCTCTCTATCGTTATTTCCATGGAAAGGGTTCAGACGAATACATTCCTTCATTCCAAAAAACAGTTCTGATTATTCAAAACCCCCACCATGCCAAAAAACATTTTTATTCTGTAAAAAATTTAAATTTAAAACACTTTCTTCCCACGAACCGCCAGTTTATGAAATCGACTCCCAAGAGGATGCTTTCTGATCATTGCAATCTTTACGTGTACAAGATCTAGAGTTTTTTCTAAGCCAAAAACAGTCTTTTTTTTTCAAATGTCCCAAAACTAAAAAAAGATTCTTAAAAATTGTACCTCGTTAAACTCTTGGGCCTTTTTGAAGAGTTATTACTGTAAAAAAAATGCTATTACAATTCTTCAAAATTTGATTTTTCTTTTTTTTTAATTTTGTCTTTGTTTTCTGTAATCAGTCCAAAGGTTTGAAGTTTTTTTTTCCTCTTTAGGACCTACATTTCATTTTGACTAAATTTTTTTGACTATTTTTCTGAGAAGGAAGTTCTATACAGCTGGCAGTTTAGATATTTCTGAACAAGTCAGTGACCATGCATGAAATTCATATCAAAGTATTCATTTGAATTTCATTTTTTTTTTTAACTCGAGTTCTTTGCTTAATTTTTTTAATTTTTTTAATTAAAATTGCTGTGTTGTGTTTTAATATAAAATAAACAAAAAATTTTCTGATTAAAAATTTATTCTATTATTATTCTAAAAATATTTGAATTTAAAAAAAAAGACTTAATGTTAGCAAGTTTTGGTTCCAGCTAATATATAAAAAAAAGTTTTTACATATATTTTTTTAAATATTTAAAAAATAAAAATTTTTTTTATATAAAATAAAAAAATAATACATATTTATAGTAAAATTACCAACAAACACATTTTTAACCATTTGATCCCTACGTTCCCAAAACAATTTAACCCAAAAAAAAAAGCTCCTGAGTTTAAAATTCGCAAATAATTGGTATGTAATTTGTTTCACGGTAGATATAAAAACAAAAAAAAGTGTTCAACCACCGTTCAAAAATTTGTTTTTTTGGGCATTAAATTCGTTTTTTTCTTTTACCAAAATAAAAATTGGTAAATTTTTTTTCAAAAAAAATTAAAAAAATCCGTTTTTTTTGTAAAAAACTAACAATACATTTTTTAGTAAAATGACCAAAGAAAAAATTTTATCTGTTATTATGGATGGAAAATAAAAATTCAAAAATATATTTAAATTTTTTCAAATTGCTCAAAATATCAAATTTCGGCAGTAAATAACCTATAGAGGTTTTGAAATGCCGCAAACAAAATCAATGCTTAGAACCAACTTTTTTAGATTTTCAAAATTAAAAAAAATACTATTCAGTTTCCCTTTAATGGTTACAAGATTTTAAATAAACGTTTAATTATCATTAAATAATCTTATATGCAATAGTTTCTCTGAACTAACAGCAATTTTCATTTAAACTGTTTTATTTATTTCATTTCAAGTTTTTTTTTTAAGTGAACTTTTTGATTTTTTGTTTTTTTATTTTTCTTGAAAACTTTTCAGTTCAATGGCCTTTTTTCAGGCAAGTTTCCCATTTGAATAAATTTTCATATATATATATATATATATATATATATATATATATATATATATATAATTAAACTATTAAATATTGTTTAACGTTCTTTTTTCATTTTGTTTTATGGATTTTTATAAATGCTCTGTTTAAATAAACAGTATTAAATAACATTTTTTTAATTTTTAAAAACATTTTTAATTTTTTAATAAATTGTTTTAATCATTTAATCCATTTCTTAATATACGACGTCATTTGTTTTACATTTGATACGCCATGAGATAAGTTATGAAAAAATAACGAAATTCATGGAAGATTGAAGTTTATAAGCAAGTAAATTCAACCTTCCCAACTGAACGTTTTGTTTTGAAATTATAAAAATAAAATAAATGACGGTTCCGTATTAGGATGCAAAATTTCGAATCTGTCTTTTTTTTTTCTTTTAATTCAGGCCGGTAAATGTTATTTAATACTGTTTATTATAAACTGAGCATTTACTTAAATACTTGTATCTATAAAAAGAACGTTAAACATAAAAATGTATTTATATAAATATATATATATATATATATATATATTTTATATATATATATATATATATATGTTTCATTAAATAATATAGACAAATTTTGTCTATTTATTTTAAATAAATTCCTTTCATATTGTCTGATAAGCTTAATAACATTATCATTGAAAGAAAGAAGAAAATCAATCCATATTGATACATGTTTTTTAATCCAATCTAAGCTTTTAGCTTACATAAGCCATTATCAAAGATGACAATTACATTTCAATATATCAAACAATACACGGACGAAATAATAATGATAGTCTGTTTTTTGTTTTCATGAAAAATTTCAAAACGACAAACGATATAAACTCGTTTATACGAAAATTGCATCGCAGACATGACGTCACATGACCACGCGAGAGTGAAAAAAAAGTATTAAGTATGGGGAAGCCGTTGGTATAAAAAAATGGCTTCTGTTATTAATTATAGGCATTTAAGAATATTTGTGAAGATTTCATAGTTTATTTTGTTCAGGTTAGGTTTCAACTGTTTTATGTATATAGCTTCAAGAATTTTTAGTTTTTTTGTTTTTTTTTGTTTTCATGTTTAAGTACAGTTGTTTTTTCGTCCATGTATTGTTTGATATATCGAAATGTAATTGTCATCTTTGATAATTAAGAAATTGAATAAGAAAGAAAATAATGAATGAGAAAGAAAGAAAGAAAGAAAGAAAGAAAGAAGATAATGGATAAGAAAAATTAATGAATGAGAAGGAAAGAAAGAAAATAATGAATGAGAAAGAAGAAATTGAATAAGAAAGAAAATAATGAATGGGAAAAAGAAAGAAAGAAGATAATAAGAAAGAAAGAAAGAAAGAAAGAAAGAAGATACTGAATGAGAAGATAGAAAGAAGGTAATGAATGGAAAAGAAAAAATTAATGAAGTAGAAGGGAAGAAAGAAGATAATGAAGAAGAAAGAAAATAAGAAATGGGCTGGAAAGAAAGGACGAAGAAGATACTGAAAAAAAAAGTTGTTATTTTTTATAAAGACCCACGTCTACTCTCGTCTCAAGAAGTCAGGGTTGCAGCTACCCTTGTGCTTCAAGCATACGAGGAGTGAAAGGTAATGTCAATTAAATAGCCTACATGTTCCGCCCACCCATTCTAGTTTGCTGACACAGAGTTAGGGTCAGGAGCAAAGCCCAACTAAATGACCAATTATTTCTGGACAACGCATTATCCGAAAGTGTGTGGTCTCAAAAACAAAGCAATAAAAAAAGAGAAAAAAAAAAGAATTACCGCGTATCAGTTTTTCTTCACTGGAGGGTGGGTATATAAATAGTTTCTCTCGACAAATAAGTAACTATTGTTTAAATTGGTGCCCCGCCACATCGCAAGCAAAAAACAAAAAAAAAAACAAAAAAAAAAACTAACAAATCTATTAACAAAACCTGTTATTAACCATATGTGGAAGCCGGACGACGAGAAAAAGAGGATTTAAGATCCAATAAAGGTACAAGGTAGTAAGGCACAAGGTGTTACTGTGTGTGAAAGAATAATAAAAAAGAGAAACATTACTAAGAAGGGAGAACAATAGAAGAGTAATCAAGAAGACATTAGATACCGATTGACAAAGTTGGCTGGAAAGCATGGAGCCGGAAGAGAGTTCCACGAGCGAGTAGTGTGATAGAAGAAACTGACAGCATAGAACTTACGGTTACATCTAGCCATCTCAAATACAAATTGATGTGACCTTGCTGCCAATCTCGTAATCAGCTTAAATTCATTAAGTCTAGGTACCATAGTGAAGAGCTCATCCGAACAATTACCATGAAAGTATTTATAGAAAAGGCACCGATTATTGTATAATGATGTATTTATATGCGTATAAATATGGATGTTCTTGCTGTTCACCCCAAGGTAATAAAGCCACTAAGACACAAAGAGTGTGAAAAAATAAGAAAAAAGAGAAACATTACTAAGGAGGGACGACAATAGAAGAGTAATCAAGAAGACATTAGATAACGACTGACAAAGTTGGAAAGCATGGAACCTGAAGAGTGTTCCACAAGTGAGAAGTGCGATAGAAGAAACTGTTAACATTGAACTTACGGTTACATCCAGCCAATTCAGCTGTGAATTGATAAGACCTTGTCGCTAATATACAGTGGACTATGATAAGTTTTTAGTCACCCTTGATTACGGCAATTTTGGATTGTGTAATAACATCTCTTTTTTTCAGACAATACCGTGTTAGTATCAAGCTACTCTTTACTATGAACAATAGTTGACTTATATCTTGCAATGAAAGTTCATGGAAGTAAAGAAATTGGTTAATTTCAACAAGGGCAAATATTAGGATGGCATCAGTGTGGCAAGCCACAGAGAAATTGCTAGGTTTTTCCAGGTTAATCATCAAACGGTTTATATTGTCAAGAAATTTAATGAAGAAGGACGTTGTCGTGTGAAACAACGTTCAAGAAGACCAAGCATCGTGTCTGGCTGAAAGAAAAGGGCGCTGAAGAGGGAAGTCATCAGAAACCGTCGTCAGAGCATCAAAGATATCGTCAATAGCATGGAAATGTCGCCATATGTGGTGAGAAAGACTCTGAAAGAAATAGGCTATCAAAGAAGTGTTTCAAGAAAGAATCCTTTGATTTCAGAGGTTAACAGAAACAGGCGTATGGACTGGACGAGAGAATTCGAGAGCAAAAATTATGAATTTTGGCAGTCTGTAATTTGGTCAGATGAAAGTAAATTCTGCCAATATTCGAATTCAAGACAGGTTTATGTTTGGAGAAATCAGAATATGACTTGGAACACTGAATGTCTTCAGGCGACCATAAAACATGGAGGGATTGGAGTAATGGTGTGGGGTGCTGTCTGGTTTGGAGGGAAATCTGAGCTGATTCTTGTTGACGAGCAGTTGAATGGTCCAAAATACTGTCAAATATTAAAGAAAGGATTACTCCCACTATTTGAAACCAATCAGATTGACAAGAATGTCTACCTTTTTCAAGAAGATGGAGCGTCATGTCATACGAGCAAAATAGCAAAGGGTTGGAAGGAATCGAAAGGAATCAAGTTACTACCATGGGTAACCCAAAGTCCTGACATGAATCCAATAGAGCACGTTTGGGAGCACTTTGACCAAAAACTTCAAGAGCGTGCAATCAAAATCACATCAGTGGCAACCCTTAAAGTAACATTGCTAAAGGAGTGACAAAATATGGACCAGACGATCAAATCCATGAAAAATCGAATACAAGAACTGAAACTAGCAAATGGTGGACCTACTCCATACTTGTTCCAAATATTGTTTATTTATATTGAGTTGGGATTACGTAATTAAATTTTGAAATTGGATGTAGTTTATTTCTCCTGGCTAAAAACCTTTCTGAGGCCATTGTAGTACTGCGTTTAATTTAATAAATTCTAGGGGCCATAGCGAAGAGTACATTACAATCTTTCGAAAGATTCGTTACTCAGACTAGTTCCAAATAGCTTATAAATTGTTTATTTATTTAAAATATTTCATATATCAGAAAATATATTCAGTTTAAATAAAGATCGAGCACGAATCTCTTAACCCAGTTGCCAATAGCATATATATTCAGACGTATTATTAAGGGAATTTTCTGGGCAGCCTGATGTAATCCAAACCGTCTTCAATCCGGTTTGAATTTAGAGTTTTCCTTCGTCGTCAACTAAGTCTATAAGTCCTTTGCCCTGCTATTTCAAATGAAATAAAGAGATGGATTCATACTTTTCCTAAGGGTATGGGCAGATATATCGAACCGCTATTCGTTACTCCACCGTGCCATACATAGAGAAGGGGTCATAAAAATGACTTAAAATGGCCGTTCCTTTCTCTTTTATGCGATCCAAGAGTTGGTTATATTCTAAGCGTAAGGCCGAAATTGTTCTAGCGAGACAAGTTTGCTGATCATTACATCACGCGAGGTGCCCTTAATGATTTTCTAAGCGTAGCACAAGGTCGTAAGTGTGGAGCACCCATGAGGATGCGTGATACACGCTTTCTTGATCATGTATCTTTCGATACATGACTGACGAAGTAGGATGCCATTTCTTTCTGCGGTAGATCAATTGCCATCCAAGACTATAGAACCCAGTCTGTTCTGCTATTTACCCATAGCTGGGGGAGAAACACCCTAGACATAAAATTTTGAACAGTTTATAAAATTTATAAAATATATAAAAATTTCATGAAATGATGGGGAGGGATGAACCCAATAAACGAACAAAAGATGTAACAAAAATAAATTAAAACAAATGTTAGTAGGAACCGTTTACCCCTCAAAATAAGAGTGTATTCTGCCGATAGACAGAATCAAGAAGCACACTCACTAATGGAGTGGGGAGGATAAAAAATGACGGAATGGAAAAAATCTAAGAATGACTCCGCTATTCCTTACGAGGTTTTCGACAAAATCCAAAGAAGAATCTGCAATGTAAACGGTCCTCCTTGACATCCCAATTTCAGTCTCTTTCTCAAAGACTTGATGTGCCTTCCCTCTGTCTTTTCTACGAATATTTTCATGGCAACTGTTCTGGTGAGCTATCTTCTGATACACCAACTACATGAATTTAAACGTGCTACTAGATTGGCATATAGGTCCCACCCTTTTACTGTTGAAATAATTAAATGCAACCGCCATTTCTACTGCAGCAGTTTATTTTCTCGTACTTCCCGACAGTGGAACTCCTTTCCTCTTACTTGCTTCCCTGATAACTACAATCTTTTTTATTTAAATGCAACGTCAAGCGCCATCTTATGTTGCCTTGATGCCTGTTCTTTTATCCTTTCCTCAATTCCAGATCTTTTCCCTCACTTTCACTCTCTGTAACCCCCCGGCATGCTAGTGGCACTCCCACGTTGCTTGGGGTAAAATGCTTTTAAAAAAATCTAAAATTAATTTTGTAAATAAACAATAAGTAAATGAATAGTGTTTAATATTTTTGTTGTAAATTTTCAACAAAAAAAAAAAAAAAAAAATGTATAAATTCACTTTCATACGTTTGTGTTTTATTGGGATACTAATAGTCATTCTTTTAAAACAAGAAACATTACCGAGGGAGTGAAGGTAGTTAAAAGAATAGCGGTGTCAAGGAAGAAACCGTCCTTTTGAGACACCGTTTTATCGCAGGCACGAAAGATTGCCAAAATATTTATAGAAATTTTAATGAGGCAAAATTTTCACTGTCGTTCAAAATCAGAAGCCAATATTCATGTGTTTTTTTATCTCATTCTCTACAGGAGGGTTAGTAGTCGATTAACTCGTTCGCGAACGCAGCCGCGTGTGCAAAAAGAGCAGCAGTAGCAGCAGTGACAACAGGAAGCAAGCCTCTCTGAGAACCATTGACTCTGCAAGCGGACAAGGTCGATCGCTATCGCGTTCTCCAGCGGAGTGACAAGAGAAGCTGTTCATCATTCAGTGGCGTCTCTTTCCCGCTTGGAGGTTTTCAGCCATTATCTCGTGGAAACAGCTTCGCATCTTTCCCAGTGAACTTAAGTGGAGGAAAATTATTAAATCGTTTTTTTTAAACTGTAAACGATTGGGGTCATAACGGAACCACATGTACAGCAAGATAACCTAATGGAGCACGTCCTTCTTTAGGTTGGTTTTGTATTAAGAGTTTTCATTCTTCTAGTCAAATTGCTCTACCAAGGCTAAAAAGCCCAGTCTGCACTATTATTTACAAAAATATTACTAAATTCAATTTTTTCCCTAGACTAGCTGCCAAACAAGACAAAAGCGACAAAAATTTACTTTGTTATTTAACCTCGTGCTGGAGAAAATAAAACTTATGGCCTTTTTTCTCTCATCCGGATGAGAGCGAAGTGAAGAAAGCAGAAGAAAAATCAGTCAGTATTCGAACCCGGCATGCTGATTTCACTTTCTGTGTTAATAACCGCTACGCTACACACACTTCCAAACGGACATTATCAGTTCGCAGTCATGGATATAAAATGTTCCTAAGACTGGTTAAAAATACAGGTATAGTTCGCCCTACGTCCTTAAATCGTTCCACAAGTCACGACTTGGGTCGAAAAACGACTTAAATCGAAATAGCCAAACCGCAAATAAGGACTCCTCATTGCTTATTACAGTATTTATTATATGTACGTACAATATTCTAAATAAAATAATTCATTTCAACATAATATATAGCGATATAACCTTTCTTCGCAGCCTTGGACAAAAATGTATTCTAAATCACAATTTAAATATAATTGTCTATATTTCTGTGATGAGGTATTATGTACACTATTTACATTATTCGGACTATTTTCCTCATCTTTGTCACCATATTTATCACAGCGTTTCGGCCTTTCAGTATCTGTCTATATTTCTGAGATGAGGTATTATGTACACTATTTACATTATTCGGACTATTGACCTCATCTTTGTCACCATGTTTATTATTACAACGTTTCGGCCGTTGTAAGCTCCGGCCTTCTTCAGGTGGTTAGAATATCGAACTGAACCCTTTGTTTCGCTCACTGGAGCAGACTGTTCTAGTTCCACGTGCCATGTTTAATGGATGTCAGTTATCAGTTATCTCCTGTTAATTCCCCTCTCCAAGTTCTCTACTGCCATAACCGGGTATTGAACTCACACTCTTTGGGTCTTGTCACTGGATCTAACTAACGCCTTTTCCACTGTGCAAAAATAACTGATAACTGACATCCATTAAACATGGCACGTGAAGCTAGAACAGTCTACCCCAATGAGGAAATAAAACAGTTCGACATTTCAAAAATAGTTTTTCTCAAGGCCAGAAATACAACGGCCGAAACATTGTAATACATATGGCAACAAAAATGAGGACAATAGTCCGAATAATGTAAATAGTGTACATAATACCTCATCTTAGAAATATAGACAGATAATATAAGCCATTAAAGAAAAAACTTTTATATCGTCAAACACGATACATACCGGAACCCCTCGTTTATACACACTTCCTATAATTATTTCCTGAACGCTGCTACTCAGAAACGGTTGCGGCAAACCAGTACTCAATTCGATTTGATCGCTGCTTTTAGGAAACGCAGCTTATCTATATTCTTTTAATTATTAAAATTAAAAATAAAATCTTAGTTACGCCCTTTGGACTGGGGCAGAATACGCCGACTGTATCTCTGAAATGAGGCATCCTGGGTAAGACGCTAAACTGCATCCAACACCAAAGCCTCTAATCATAAGGTTTTGAGGAACGTGGTGGTGTTCCCAGGTTCAACCTGCCCCAGGGTGGTAGCACCTTTTAGGGTGAAAATAGGACAAATAGTTAACACCAAACTTGGGTCAAAACACTATGAAAGTGTAAAAATAAATTTTAGTACAAGAAAAAAATATTACCAGCAATACATTTTCGAAGGAAAAAAAAATATTGCCAGAAATACATTTTCGAAGGAAAAAAAAAATATTGCCAGAAATACATTTTCGAAGGAAAAAAAAAATATTGCCAGAAATACATTTTCGAAGGAAAAAAAAATATTGCCAGAAATACATTTTGGAAAATATAAAAATCTTCTCGGCATTAAATAACCCATTGAGATGTTGATATGCCATAAAACAAAACAACCAAAACAAAAACTTTATTTTTTTTATTTATTTTTATAAACAACAAAATAAAGCGTATTTCAAAAGTATTAAAACGAACAGTTTGAAGAAGAAAAACAAAAGAAAAGTAAAAGAACATTGTACTCATCATTATCAGCAAGCTCGGAATAATCTCGAAAAAGGGACCTCGTAGCGACTTATGGTAACATAAGCAAGATCCACGAAATACAAGCTGTATGAAAAGTCAAAGAGTACAATTAAAAAAATATTCCCATTCATTGAAGGCCATTAGGGGAATATCAGAAATCGTTGGAGATTTTAAGAAACTTTAACAAAAACCTGTAAAATTTAAGGTAAAATACACTGTACATTTATCGGAGCGTTTTATCTACAAGAGAGATAAAACTAACATCCCTATCACCAAGGCAGTAGGAATAACAATTCGAGAAGTGCTAGATACGTGCGGTGGGTAGATACGACCCAGTAGAGTCATAGAATGCAAAGGCGCGGTTTTCACGAGCTTTATTTCGCCTCTGTTGTAATATACGTTTGGGTTAAGCACTTGATACGACATGTTATTCATCAGCGTTACCTGGGGTGAAACGAATGTCGTCTTAAATTCATTAGCAAACATTCGGTTCGTTTTAAACCGGGCAAATTTCACGTTCGGATCAGCAGGAGACTTTCACAGACCATCTTACTTAAAAACCATTGTACACAACGAGCACGCTTGCGCGTCGTATTGTCTGCTCCCGTCGGCGAAATCGGTCGCTCCCAGCCAATATGCTACTGAAGGATGCGGCTCAGGTGTGAATTCGTATTCCAAACCACAACAGAAATTACCATAGCAGACGCTAATATTTCCTGCTTTGCCTTCAAGCTGGATTGATTTTAAATCCATGTTGCCTACTAAATAAGTAATTATTTTTTGGTTTCCTTGAGCTGGAGTGAGCCGTTTGGGAACCACTGCATAATTAGAACTAGCACCAGGATTTATATTTGTCATATTTATGGTCAACAAGCCCGGATTACTGGAGTAGGAAAATCCGGATGTGCCGCTATAGAAGCCGCTCCCGCCAGTTAAGGGAGACACTCTACTGGGACGGTCCAAAATGAGGTTCGACGAGATAAGGTTAATGTTGGCCATCCAAGCGACGGAAGCATGGTAAGGAACAGATATAAATAAAGGAGATAGACTAAACCACAAATTAGGGAAAATTATATTTCGAACATTTTTATAATGAATAAGATCATTAAGGGTGTCTTCGTAGTAAATATCAAAGCAAGTAATACTAGCAAATCGTCCAAATGGTGTTTCAAAGATTTTATGTTCTGCAACAGCCGGTTCGTTGAAATAAGGCTCCGTAAAAAGATGTTTCTTGCGATACCGGGACACAAGTGTACCATTAGGAGCATAAACAACATTAGTGTTGAATTGGTATCGCCCATCTAATGGGCAACGCGAATCGAGAGTTCGGTTGCAGGTTTCACGTTCTCCAACGTTGGCTACGATATACAGTTTGTTCTTCTTCGCCATACAGCTGAATTTTCTCTTTTATTGTTATGTCATCTGTCGTGTTTTTGAGGTCGCACGGAGTCCAGGGGAAATTTACCTCCGGGTCTGGTATTGTCTCCAAAAAGTTTGCGACTGAATCACGAGTGAATTTTTCAATATCTGCGTAAAGGCAGTACTCTGGAAAAACCAAGATCTGAGATTTCTGTAAGAAAAGAAAAATCAATTAGAATTTAGGAAGTATTTTCTGTTGTTACAAAGAAGATGAGAGGGTTAGGTGTTGAGTGTGGACGTATGTGAGTGGTTGGGGAGGGTTGAGAAGGTGCGAGGAAAGGGGAGTCAGTGGGGAGAGATCAGCAGTGGAGACGAAATCACTTTTAGATTAAAAAATATTGTCTATTATTACAAGAGGGAAGGAAATTGAGAAGCGCAAGAAAATATGAGTTTTGTTGGGATTTTTTATCCTTTCACCCTAAGTAAGGGAATAAAGCCATTAAGACGCAATGTGTTACATAGCGATTATATTTTTTATGAAAAGTTGATTGGGAAGCAAGAAGCCGGAAGAGATTTCCACAAGCGGGAAGTGCGAGAGAAGAAACTGTTAGCATAGAACTTACGGTTGCAGCTAGCCATTTCAATTATAAAATGATGACACCTTGCCGCAAACCTAATACGGCGTTTAAATTCACTAATATAGGTATTTATAGAGCAAACTTCGTTAGAACAATTACCATGAAGGTATTTACAGAAAACGTACAGGGAAGCCACGTTACGGAGAGTGACTTAAGCTGAGATTCCGGGTCAGGACTAATAACATTGCAGATTTTTCTTTGGATTTTATTAAGAATATCTAAACACACAGTTGCAACAAACCCGAAGTGGTAGCAATATTTAATGAATACACGAATGGTAGACTACATCCAACACCACGGCCTCTAATCATGAGGTTCTGAGGAGCGTGGAACCACCTCTTAATTGATGGTGTTCCCAGGTTCACTCTGGCCCGGGGTAGCACTTTTTAGGGTGCAAATAGGACAGATTGTTGAGAAAAATTGTCTAGCATGGCACAATGAATGAACTTTCCTATCAGCAGATCTAGCAGTTGATTCGATATAATCTTTTCACTTTATAACAGCTCAAGAAAACTCTACGAGTCATTCCCTTGGAGGTTACCATCAGTCCTGCTGATGGAAAGCCAAAAGAATTCTCTCAGACCATTAAGAGAGCAGTTTCGTTTTGGAGACATTAAAATTAACAAGCCATTCCTTATCGCAGTTAATATATCGGTTCAATAAGTCGGGTGAGAAAATCTTTCTCTCCAGAACATATCTTACATATCTATAAGTCGACCATTTCTCCGTGCTTAGAATATTTCTGCCACATATGGTCCCCTTCTATTTACCTTGAGCTCCTTGATAAGATCCAAAGAAGAATCTGCAATATTATTGGTCCTGATCTGGTGGCTCAGCTTCAGTCACTTGCTCACCGTCGTAAGATTCCTTCTCTATGTCTTTTCGTTAAATAGTTTCATGGGAATTGTTCGGATGAGCTCTTCACTATGGTACCAAGAATTTTTTAATTTAACCGCTGTACTAGACTGGTGACGAGGTCTCGTCAATTTACAGTTGCGCTGGGTAGATGTAACCGTAAGTTCTATGTTAACAGTTTCTTTTCTCGCACTTCTCGCTTGTGGAGCTCTCTTTCGACTCCATACTTTCCAGCCAACTTTAATCTGCAAAAAATTAAATGCAATGTCAATCATTACCTACTGTCCTCCTGATTACTCTCTTCTCTTTCTGTTCATCATTAATGTTTCTGTTGCTAATTTTTCCACACCATGTAACCCCTTACGTCCTTGTGGCTTTACTACCTTGCTTTGGGTGATTCCGATTAATAAAACAAAGAAGAAGAAGAAGAAGAAAACAAGAAGAAGAAGAAGAAGAAGAAGAAAACAAGAAGAAAAAAACAAGAAGAAGAAGAAAAAGAAGAAAACAAGAACAAGGAGAAAACAAGAAGAAGAAAACAAGAAGAAGAAGAAGAAAACAAGAACAAGAAGAAGAAGAAGAACAACAACAAGAAGAAGAAGAAGAAAACAAGAACAAGAAAAAAACAAGAACAAGAAAACAAGAACAAGAAGAAGAAAACAAGAAGAAGAAGAAAAAGAAGAAGAGGAAGAAGAAAAAGAAGAAAACAAGAACAAGAAGAAAACAACAAGAAGAAAACAAGAAGAAGAAGAACAAGAAGAAGAAAACAAGAACAAGAAAACAAGAAGAAGAAGAACAAGAAGAAAACAAGAAGAAGAAGAACAAGAAGAAAACAACAAGAAGAAGAAGAAAACAAGAAGAAAACAAGAACAACAAAACAAGAACAAGAAGAAAACAAGAAGAAGAAGAACAAGAAGAAAACAAGGAGAAGAAGAAGAAGAACAAAACAAGAAGAAGAAGAAGAAGAACAAAACAAGAAGAAGAAAACAAGAAGAAGAAGAAGAAAACAAGAAGAAGAAGAACAAGAAGAAAACAAGAAGAAGAACAAGAAGAAGAAGAAGAAAAAGAAGAAAACAAGAACAAGAAAACAAGAACAAGAAGAAAACAAGAAGAAGAAGAACAAGAAGAAAACAAGAAGAAGAAGAACAAGAAGAACAAGAAGAACAAGAAGAAGAAGAACAAGAAGAAGAAGAACAAGAAGAACAAGAAGAAGAAGAAAACAACAAGAAGAAGAAGAACAAGAAGAAGAAAACAAGAAGAAGAAGAAAACAACAAGAAGAAGAAGAAAAAGAAGAAAACAAGAACAAGAAGAAAACAAGAAGAAAACAAGAACAAGAAGAAGAAGAAGAAGAAGAAAAAGAAGAAGAAGAACAAGAAAACAAGAAGAAGAACAAGAAAACAAGAAGAAGAACAAGAAAACAAGAAGAAGAAGAAGAAAACAAGAACAAGAAGAAGAAAACAAGAACAAGAAGAAGAAGAAGAAGAAAGTGTAGGTCATTTTGGAGATCAGCATACAAACTTTGACCTTTATCAAAACGATGAGCATTACTATTAAGACTGGAGTAAATAGTTGTGTCATCAGTTTGTACGGAATTAAATTCTGTTTAGTTGAATACATCACCATTTTTCTGGCCTTGTACTATAATTTTTCTCCTCCCCTTCGGAACTATCTCAAGTTTGGTTTCGTGAATCGGAACTCCTTTTACAATATTAAGGATAGTTTGCAGTATCCCTATACGGAGAGACACTGACGAGAGACAAGCGATAAAGGTGAATATTGAATCTGGGATAAGGCATGAACGATTAATTTCTTTTTTCGTTTTAACGTAAACAGAAATCTTGATTTTTTACGGCTTATCAACCTTTTTTTACGGGTTATCTAAATCCAGAAAATAATTTAGATTTTGGAAAAAATTGGAAATAATGATTTACTGATATTTGTCTTATTAATTAACCCATAGCTAAGGGGGCACAGAAGAGGTGGATCCATACCTTTCGCAAGGGTATTTAGGTGTAAGTGAATACATTGAACCCAACTGGAACTGGAACTCTTCACATTTTGACAATGTTCCTAATATTGTTGTTATCACAACGTTTCAGCTTTTATCAACTCCAGCTTTCTTCAGAGTCTGTATATATCAGAGAAACCCCCCACAAAAAAGTAGTTTATTTAATCTACGGGGATAGATTGTTTTGGTTAATTTGCAGTGTAACACCCGCGCTCGGTTCGCATTAAAAATTTCCAAAATACTTACATTTATGTGTAATTGTACATGCTCCATTCGAATCTGGCTTGATAAAATCAACCATTTTGAAGTTATCGACAGTGAAAGTTTGGATTCATTCGCGTCGCGGAAAGCCATTACGCGCGTTCTTTATATACATTCGCTGCAGAATAGCTATTAGTGTAGGTATCATTGCGCAAACTGAGCGTGTCTACGTAAACAGTTCTCGTGCGCAGTAATTGCGATAAATTTAGACAAGAAAGATCAGTTCCGAGCTTAGCTTTCCGTAGTCTTCCGCGTTTAGCTTTCTGTAGCGAATGTATGCAAACAACGCGAATAATGGCGGCCGCCAACGACACGATTGAATCCCAAATTTCACTGTCGATAATTCCAAAATGGTAGATATTATCAACTTTATCAAGCCAGATTCGAATGGAGCATGTAGAATTACACATAAATATAGGTATTTTGGAAATTTTTAATGAGAATTGAGTGCGGGTGTTACACTGAAAATTAACCGTTGTTTTTATTCCGCTGGCAAGTTTTTATCTCGCCTTGTTTATATTTGGTACTGCTCAAGCATGACTCGCCGTTTCTACTGAGTCTAACCTGAACTACCCGGGCTAAGGATTGAACTTACAATTACTATTTAACCAAAATCACTAAACACCGCGAGACTGTTTTCCGGAACGGTGTAGTTGAGAGTTAGAGTCAAGGGAAACAGGACGAGCAGTAGTACCCAAAGAACGGGGGGGAATATCTCTAGACACAGACAGTGGAACGACGACAATAATATTCCCGTAGGAGAAATAATGTAATGGGTTCAGTTCAAAATTCCTTGGAGTTTACACAGATCTACAAACACCTGAAGAAGGCCAGAAGACAACAACTGAAACACTGCGATTATCGAAACAAAGATAGGAATAATAGTTCGAGGAGAAATAAAGAATACCTTTTTTTTTTTTTCTCCGATTTCCTTTAACAACGCGTTTATCGTTTTGTTCAATCTTTCCAAAATCTCCACTCCGTAAAAAAAAAAAAAAAAATCTGCAAATTCTTAATTACGGCGCTATGGGGAAAATGAAATAAAACCAATAAATAAAATAACGAATAAAAAAAATCAATTCATTTTCCCATGATGCATGTTATAAAGAAACCAGAAAGGGTTTCAAGTCAAATGTGCAGTTTTTTTATGACCCCACTTCCTGTACGATTACCGAAGTTAAGCAACGTCGAGTCTATTCAGTAACAAGATGGGTGACCGCTTTGCAATACGCGGTGCTATAAGTTTGGATGTACGATTGGTGTAAGGGGTTTACCGCCATATCAGATTGAAGCATTACTTCCCGTACGATCACCGAAGGTAAGCAACGTCGAGTCTAGTCAGTACCAAGATGAGTGACCGGTTGCGAATACCAGGTGTTGTAAGCTTGGAAGAGCGGTTGGTGAATGGCTTACGGCCATGTTACGTTGAACCAGTACTTCCCGTACGATTACCGAAGTTAAGCAACGTCGAATCTGTTCAGTACTAAGATGGGTGACTGCTTGGGAATACCAGGTCCTGTTAGCTTGGATGTGCGGTTGGTGTAATAGCTTACGGCCATGTCACGTTTAAGCGTTACTTCCCGTACGATTACCGAAGTTAAGCAACGTTGAGTCTGTTCAGTAACAAGATGGGTGACCGGTTGGCAAAACGCGGTGCTGTCACCTTGGATGTGCGGTTGGTGTAAGGGGCTTACGACTATATCACATGAAGCATTACTTCCCGTACGATCACTGAAGGTAAACAACGTTGAGTCTGTTGAGTACCAAGATGGATGACCGGTTGGGAATACCAGGTGCTGAAAGGTTGGGCATGCGGGTGGTTTAATGGATAATGGCTGGGAATTGTTAATCGGAGAGCCGGGTTCTAGTTCACGTTGGGTTCGTTATATCCACTTTCACTCAAATACTTCCACAAAGGAAAAAATGAAATAAAAAAAAATAAATAAATAAAATAGTAAAAACGAATAGAAAAAATTTCCCATGATGCAAGTTATAAAGAAACCGGAAATGGTTTCAGATCACATGTGCGAGTTTTTGTTTTTTTTTATGACTCCATTTCTGGAAAATAACAGAATTTTTCTCTTTCAACGCTTGGCTTCAAGATGTGAACCACACAGTAATAGCATTCCCTCTACTGGTGGTAGTGGAGGACGTTACTTTCCCGATCCCCAGATGACCGAACTTTTTCTACTGACCAACGAAATCGCCGGACGTGTTTTAGCACCCCTACTCATGAAGTAGAGGTTCGGTCATCCCAATTCAATGTGAGGCTGACTTGAGCTCGACCATCTTTACCCGTTCTTATCCTTACTTCCCATAAATCATTTCTGAATGATGAGGGAAAACGAACATACACAAGGGAGACATTTAATTTTGTTTTAATAAAATCAGAATAAAAGAAATAAATGACTGTAGCCGAAACTCAAATTTTTTTGTATGATTCTATCTTTGTTTTATATATTGAACACGCACCTTCATCTAAAAAAAAAAAAAAAAAAAAAAAATACACACAACCCACGAGTTTAACATCCACAGTACCTCCCCTCTTAAAACACTCTAGCGACGTGCCTGTCCAAGCAGAAGTCCGTTAAGGTTAAAATGTAGTATAATGTGCTTGAATGCCAGTGTCTGCTCCCACCGCCATCCAGATAGTACTTATCCTTCGGAAAGGGGTTAGAGTTAACATATGACGCTTGAGGTGACTCTTTATCTACTCTGGTTTATTTGGTACTACCCATTTCCGACGGATATATTTGTAGGTATGTTTGCAGACTTGTTAATAAGAAAGCACAGACCTTTATAAGATTAGTAAATGTCTCGCTGCATTCTACTTGGAATTATCATTTTTTTTTCTTTGCCAATTACCGAACTTGGTCTTTTTCCTCAATTCTAGTTATTTACCCGGGTAGCAGAGAAATAAAAATAATTTCCAAGACAAAAATCGGAGACTTTTTTTTTTTTTGTTTTTTTTTTTTAAAAAAAAAATAAATAAAATGTGGGGGGTTACTTACTCGTCTCGCGGCTTCTTCGGCTTGAAGTTCATATTCGTCAATATGGCGACTCATATGAGCTACTGCCTCTTTTCGGCTTACAAACGACGACACGTTATTAACCATTCTTGGTTGGTAAACAGACACAGTGTAACCGCCATGTTGGTTTGCAAAAACAGGAATCCAAGTTAAAAGACAACAGACGATAGATAACAAAACCTGTAGCATTGTCGACTTCTTGAATGTTCCTTTCACGACCATTTAAAAACTGTCAGACGTAACTTAGGTGTTATTTTCTGTCTAAAAAAGTAAGGAGTGTAAAAGTAAGTTTTTCTTTTAAATAAATTTCATCAAATAAAGAGACTGTATCTTTTTTTTTTTTTTCTTTTCTTTGCAACGCTTGAAATATTAGCGAAAAAATTCGCTACCGAAAACCATCTGAAAGATGTTAGTTCTTAACTTCTTTTAAATACAGGAGTGAGACCGGATGTTGTAAAAAAAACAAAACAGATGACTTCACTAGAGAAAGGGAAAATTTGGCTGTTTTCACGTGGACTATTTAGGATTGGACATTTCTTTATCTGGGTCATCAATTTAATAATGTTAACAGGTGTGGCTTTAGCCTTTAAGAGGACAAGAAGTCGATCTAACTAAACCTTTTATTTTTAGAGTAGCTGTCACAAACATGTTTTCTTTAGTCGGAAAGAATTTCGACCTTCATTTAAATTCCGTTTCGCCATCAAAATACAACATTTCTTGAAACTGTTTTCTCAGACCAATTATTTTAAAAGAAAAGTAATGAAAGAACAAATGGGGGAGAAGATCTTAATTTGTTTAGTTGGATTCACTTCGCATTTATTTGTAATATTTAATGCAATAACAGCCACAAGTTCCCGGTTCCCTCTTCAGAAAGTCTAATTTGGAAATTAACATTTGGGGTTTTCGCGTGACGAGTAGAATAAAAATAAGTGGTTCATATTTTACTAGGGACCGCTAAAGATTCACTAAAAAATGATCATCAAAACTGTTTCGATTTGAGGTCATGAATAAACGTTCTCTCATCTTCAGTGACATTGTCTACTGATTCGACAATATTTTGCGAGCCTTCTCTGTCCTCTGCGAATTTGTTGCAGATCTTCCTTGATTGTAAACTTCGCCAAAGGAAAAGTGGGATCTTCCTGCCTTCTTCTTTGAATCCCTCGGTTCAGCGTTGACTTTGGTGATTCTTGGATGACCTCTGAACTTTTTGAAGCTAGTCTTTTCAAAGTAAAACTCAATGGTTTTGTTAGCTGGATATTCTGGATCCTTTCGTAAAATATGTCCAAGAAGCCTTTCTCACTATGCAACTTCTTTAATAAGTAGACGTAACAGTAACTGGAGTAGCCATTACCTACTCCGCCAACAACGAGAATACCATGATGAAAAAATGTCCCAAGTTTGCCGTTAAAATCTTTATTATTATTAAGAGGAAAGACCAAAGGATTTTTTAATTATTATATTTTTAATCTATTTTAGAACATTCGTAAGTTTGGTTAAAAAAAATTTTTTTTTCTTGTGTCAACTGGTAATCATAAATGAGTCTGGGAAATTTTAGCACCTTTTTGCATTGAAAAAAAAACCCATTGATTTGAAAATTCTTGTAAAAATCAGGTAATTGCAGGATTTTTATGAAACTTTCAGGACGTATTCACAGATGAATGAAAATATTTTACAAATGTTTCTTTTCTTTCTTTTAGAAAATCTTGATAAAAATATATTTTCTTATAATTTTAAGTCAAATAGAAATAAAATTTAAATAAAAGTCAACGTAATTATCTGATCTCCTAATTTATAAAAGTAATATATACACACACACATATATATATATATATATATATATATATATATATATATATATATATATAAATGTAGGTAGATAAGTAAGTACCTCCAAAGATTCGCTAAAATAAGCATACACTACTGAATTTAAAAAATGCCCGCAACTCAATAAAACAAAGTTTTATCGTCAAAATATTTGTTATTAAGTAGAAAGACCAAAGGATTTTTTAATTATTAAATTATATTTTTAATCTATTTTAGAATCTTTGTAAGTTAGGTTAAAAAAATTATTTTTCTTGTGTCAACTGGTCATCATAAATGAATCTGGGAAATTTTAGCACATTTTTGCATTTTAAGACATGTTTAACATTCTTTTTATAGATACAAATATTTAAGTAAATGCTCTGTTTATAATAAACAGTATTAAATAAGATTTACCGGCCAGAATGTCCGAGAAATTTTCACAGAAAATATTCCTCCTCCGACAGAGGAAAATTTCTGACATTCAGGCTGTTTATTATAAACAGAGCATTTACTTAAATATTTGTATCTATAAAAAGAATGTATAAACATAAAAATGTCTTAAAATAATAGTCAGACTTTGTCCACTTCATAATATATATATATATATATATATATATAGGTAAGTATCTCCAAAGATTCGCTAAAATGTTCATACATGACTATATGAATAAATGCCCCAAACTTAATAAAACAAAGTTTTATCGTCAAAATATTTGTTATTATTAAGTAAAAAAAAAATTATTCCCTTATACTCTTAAATAACTTTTAAAACGTTTGATGTTTTTTGTTAAAAATGTTGTTGCGTCATTGGGTGACCATAAATTAGTATGGGAATTCTGAGCAACTTATTGTAATAAAGAAAAAAAAAACATTTATTTAGAAATTCTTATAAAAATCAGATTATAGTTGGATTTTAATGAAACTTTCAGGACTTAGTCACAAATGAATGAAAATATTTAAGAAATGTTTCCTTTTTTTTTTTTTTAGAAAATCTTCAGAATTACCTGTTACCTGCCCGAAAAAGAATTTTTTAATTTTATGAAATTTCCAAAAATTCTTTTTTGTAGCGCTTAATGTTTAGAGGAGTCCTTGGAGAATTCAAATCAACTTTTTTGCTCAAACAGGACTTCTAGATGCAGAAGATCAGCTCTGAATCGTAAAATAAAAATGCAATAAATTTAGAACATTATTTAGAAAAGTTTTGAATTACTTTTATGTATAAAATATAATATGGATACTATTGCCTGACCAGAAAAGTTTGTTTTTTTTCGATGGAAAATGAATTAAAATAAGTAATAAAGTTTTAAATCTTTTAAAATTCTGTATTAATTTCTATCGGTCAACAGATATTGTTATTAAATAAAAACTGCGTCTACTAATCATAAATTGGGGTGCTTACTACAATTCAGCGACCCCTAGTAATTTAAAAAGAATTTTGAAATTTTGTGTGTGCATAAGCATGCCATTTTTTTTTGTAAATATGACGTCTACCCCGGCCGCTCCATAATCAAGCTCGTTCCCCTCGGGTGATCGTAGAGTTGATCGCTTCGGCCCAAGGCTAGTCTCGCCCCCACGTTGTGATAAACTGATCGCAAGAGTGGCTTGGTCCAAATGGTCGACTGGAATCGATAACTTGGTTTGGTCCGGTCAGAGTAAAGTCACACGAAAGAAAAAGAAAAAATAAATTGGATAAAAGAAAAAAAGTAATTATATACACTTCCTTGATACCAAGGTCATTGTACAGTCATTGATGCCTTAAGCAGGTTATACTCTCTATGCAGTAACTATCGACCCTTCCCGATTATTGTGACACACTGTTGTTATGATTTTGGAGCGAGACTTCTGGAACAAGGGTTTAAGTCGGACGCTTTTTCTTCAGGGCAGCAAATCAGATGAGATCCGGCGAAGTGGTGGTTCCCTGGTCTTTCTGTAGTATCTCTGCCGTAGTCTGTCCGCGCTGTCTCCGCCG